CCACGCCTGGGCGGTAACTTATTGAATTTCGCGCTAGGCTGTGGACAAAACATTTGGAAAAATAATTAAGGTTGATTTATCATCGCCTCCGGCTCCATGGTCATTCCATACACGGTATTCTACCTAGCATTTTGGTGGTCAAAATTGTCGCGGATAATCTAGATGGTAAGGTAATTAGACTAGCGTCCAAGCGATTTTAGAAAGTGTGTACCGGTGAATTAACTGGTAAATCGCACGGATATTTTTTCGCTCGAACGGGCCCACTGAGAGAACAGATAATGATGTCAACAAATTGTATATACATGGCGGCTTCATGATCAAAAGTTCTTGCCAGGATTTGGTATGGTGGTCCCTGGCGCGGCTGGGCTGCTGGGCCGCGGTTTGGTGCCTGAAATCGTAAATAGGCCGTGAAGTAAAAAGTTTGCGGAACCCTGAGTTAAAGTCGTGAAATTTATCTCTTCTTTCCCATGAAAATAAACTTTAATTTGTGTGTTGTACTTGAAAATTAAGGGATGAGGTTGCCTCTCTAAAACATGCTACCGTTCCAGATTGTGGTTCGTCTACTTGGTATGATGATGGCTGCAGAGAAGCAAAAAGGAAAGCAGAGTATCCGAACGTAAATGACGTAAATCCAGGACGACAGCTGACTATTCTGCTTATAAGCTTCAACGTTCAGAGTAATACGTCTTTTCAGGTTGCCAAGAAGCAGTTAGGTAATAAGCCAAGCGTTCCCAAGCGTTTCCCCTTTCCACAAGTTCTTTGCAACTTCTTTTTCCTGAAAATTGACAAGATTCGCACTTATATCATTAATTCGGCAGTTTTCACCAGTATTTCCAACTCTTCTGAAAGCCTCCATATTGAGTGCTCACTAAAAATGTTTGAGTTGGACTTTGCCAGACTACCAGGCAATGCAATCACTTTATATTTTTAAAAATATCATTTTATCTCTCACCCTGACCTTCGCCATGGCGAACGGCGCGAAGGTCTGGATTCGCGCCTGCATGTATTGATTGAAAGTGTACCTTAGCAATTTTATTTTTCGTTCATAGGTCTAATCTTAAATTTTTGTCAATGTCAAAAGGCAAAATACTAAAATAACAACAATGCAATGAGTGACAAGCTTTCTCTTGAATACCTGCCTGTTTAATTGTTTTTATTGTTTTGCTGCATCATAGCCCTGACGTTAGTTTAAAATATTTTTTTATAAAAAATATTTTTAAACTTAACTATGTATTAGATTACTACTACAGATTATTATTAAACATGGTGTATTAGACCGTGGGTTGAGGCTCCAAAATCGGCTTAGTTTACGAATTCTGTGACCCACCGATCCGCGCTACTTGGCATTCGCACAAAAATGTCAATACTATTTTATTGAAACATAATATAATTGTCGGCAATCGTACATTTGGAGAAACTGTAACAAAAAATGAGAATTTATCTTCAAAAAAATAATGTCGTTCACGAAAGCAGTACCCAATCACAGCACACTTACCATACCTGTTAAGCATTGATGAGACGCTATTAGCCAATCACAAACGACTAATGTAAACAATGTCGCGAGGAAAGTGACAATGTGTAGCAATTTGGACGAAAGTTCTCCGGTTTTAGTGGAATATTTCAATATGATATAAGTATACCAGCCTTTAAATAAAATACATTGGTAATAATTGTAAGATTTTAGAGGTAGCAAATTGCATTTCCCGTCTTCTGTCGACTGTCATACCGTAGTTTTTTAAGCCAAAGTCGACCGTGCTGTACTGAATGTGTATTGTATTACTTATCGAGGCCTGCATATGCATAGTAGGAAGGGCAAGAAGTAATGTTCATCGACTTTGAATGAGACAGGAAATTCCTGTAAATATATAATATATTTTGATTCTATTTGGAATCGTTTTTTTTTTCGTCAGTTGTTTATGCTGGGTCGATTCATTGCCAACATTATTGTCTCAATATGCTTATTACAATATAACATCATCGTATTTGATTCACAATACTCTGTGGTTATTTTGCTGTCGATAGTACCCCAGTTTGAGGAAAAGACAGGGCTTCATGTCTGTGTGTGTGTGTGTGTGTGTGGTGTGATAGAGAGACGCTTAGTTCTCAATTAAGTAAAACATACCATACCATTTTTAACGTTATATGTAACCACACATGTACCTTTAAACAGATTCGGTGCAATTTTGACTACTACTACTTGCACCACCATCCCTGAGATCCCCTTCTTCGTCATCAGCTTCGACGGAAACTTAATATGCCTTACTGAGGACTCGTATTTGTTGTTTTCCACAGAGTTGCACATCCTTAAATTTCTTTAAGCTGTTTACGCTTAATAACACAACCATACTCTAGGTTCTTACAACATGTATCACAAAAATATGCCTGAAACCGGCTCAGATTTATCATTTGAAGAACTTCTGTCCAACGCCATACTTGCAAGTGGAGTGTGTTGTTTACTATTTACATCGGACAAATGGCATAGAAGGTAGTTTGTGATTGGCTGAGGGCCTTGCAGCTAAGCCAAACTTTATTGTTAGTCGTCTTCTGATTGGCTATAGTTACGTAGCAACTTTTGATATAAATTCTCATTTTTGGTTACAGTTTCACCAAATTCACGATTGCCGACAATCAAATTATATGTTACAATTTATTAGTATTGACATTTTTGTGCAAAAGCCAGGTAGCCCGGATTGGTGGGTCACAGAATTGAACGTTTTCGATCCTCAACCCACGGTCTAATACAATGGAAAAATTAGCAAATTTTTCTCGGGGCCTCAGGACCCTGAACTCCGACCGGGGGCCCTTGGCGGCCCCTGGCCCCAGCCTCAGTGCTCTTCGCTTGCAACCTGCTTCAATTCTCGTGCCTACGGCCCTGTTACATTGAAAAATATTATGAACAAAATATCTTATGTAGCTGACAAAGCAGATATGACATTATCTACAGTATTTTACTATGACTTCTATTATTATGAAGTGTTCAATCTGTTGTAAAGCACTTTCTGTTAAATGAATGTAAGTTACTTGATCTATATCAGTTTGCGTATAGGAGTAAGAACGGAGTTAGTGATGCAGTTCTTGCATTTTTTCATAATATTCACTCTAATCGTAAGAAATCACACTCCTCTTCGCTCCATGTTCTTCGGCTTCTCTTCTGCCTTCAATACTATCCAACAAAATCTTCAGAAACTCAGTGACGTGACAATTAATCAACATCTAATTTTTTTGATTAAAGATTTCTTAACTAACGACTACAGATGATTCGGATAGGTGAACACTTATCTAACAGGGCCGACGGAACGTTTTTTTCAAAGTGGGGGGGGGGGTGCACACTAGTAAGATGAATGGGAATATGAATTGTGAGGGAGCCGATCATACAAAAATTTGCATAGACATTATATATTTCTGCAAAAAAGTAGTCCCCGCCCCTTCCAAGGTTCCGTCTCTGGTGTTCCTCAAGGCTGTGTCCATTCTCCTATTCTTTTCTCTATTTGCACACATGATTTCAGAATCGAAAGTAGCAATGTTTGTTTAGTTAAGTATGCTGATGACTTAGATTATTACTGGTTTGATTCATGATAATCGTGAAGAGGAGTACGAACATACAATTAGGTCGTTTGTATCATGGTGTAAAGAACAGTTTCTTATTCTAAATACTGACAAAACAAAAGAAATTACTTTTGATTTTAGGAAGAAAAGTGTAATTGGTAATATTATAATAAATGACAAAGCAATAGTAACTGTTAAAGAACATACAGTAAATATGTAGGGCCGACGATAGATAGTGAATTAAACTGGAATGCTAACACTGTAAATATTGTGAAAAGTCAAACCAACGTCTGTACTTTCTTCGTAAACTGAATTCCTTCAAAGTAAATAGTGAGGTGCTTTTCCATTTTTATCAGAGATGTTATTTTAAGTGTTTTATCATTTATTTGTGTAATCTGATACAATATAAGAAGGAACTTGATAAAATAATGAAAACTGCAGGTAAAATAATAGGCAGAAATGTTAATGTTATCGACGAGATATATAAACGTGATGTCATTAGCCAAGACAATTATGAAAAATATTTCATACCCATTAAACAACGATTATGTCAGGTAGACTCCGCCCTTTAAGACAACACGGTGCAGGAAATCTTTCATTCATAATTCAACTCATGTTTTCAACTCAAGTCTTCACAGATAGTATTTATATTGTTCTGTATATTGTATTATAGTCTTTCATGTATATAATATTTTTGGTGCAATTAATCCTTTATGTTTTATATTATTTCATACCGTATTATATATGTATTTATAGTTTAATCATCATGGAAACCAAATTTTATGTACACCTTGTTTTGTGATCATGACAATAAAGTTTATCTTATCTATCTTAAATTATATGTATTATTTGTATATATTTATATTTGTTCACAAATGAGCACTGTTTCTAACTTTTAACTACGGTACTTTTTTAAAAATATATTTTCAGCCTACGCAGCATATTATGATTTAAATATATATTACTACCAACTACCCACCCCAGCCCCACCATGTCTGGGGCCCCATTCCTCTTCCGTTTTAAATTATATTATTCACTGCATTATTATTCCGCTTCTGTTTCTGGGTTTTCCCCATGTCTTTAAATCTTATGTTTAAGATTATATTTAATTTATTATATTTAAACCAATCTAATTTTCCTCCACTCTCCTTTTCCAGCTGCTACCGGAAAATGCCGATAATATTTAAAAAATAATAATGACAATGACGATGTAATGATAATCATAATTATTATTATTTGTCAATATTCTGAGCTGTGAAAATGTCAACCAATCACAGAGCAGAAAATTAATTACTGGCGTGAGATTCAGTTACCGCTGTGAGCGTAGCACCCTATATGCATATTTTGACCAATCAGGCCAGAGAACTCGCTGCAGTAAATTTATATTCAAAAACCGAATACTGAGCATCTAGCATCTAGTGTAATCACTTTACAGTACAGAGTTTATTAGCAAACATACCGCACTTAAGTTGCTTTACTAATACTGCAAAATATTAACTGTGTTACTACTTCTAGTATAGCAGGACGATGTGGACCTCAGAGCTATCACGGCAACCGACTGGCTGTATTTTAAAATCAGTTATCATTTGCCTGTTAGTGCCTCTATGTAAGTTGTATGTAATTTATCAATCCGATTAAAATGTAGGTCTTACGACTAAGACGATTTTATTACTGTACCACTACTATAAGCATTCAGATTTTAGCACATTTTTAGTCATTCTTTTTAAAATGGTAAATTACTAAAACTATCAAAAAACGTAAGTTTATTTTATAGCTTGTATAAACATAATTAGGAATATGAAAGACGAGCATGTGTTCTACAGATCGTATATATGTTGTCGTCTACGGGTAAGGATATTCTTGTCACTCATTTTCAACACTTTTCACATTGCTAGTTTGCTAGGGGTGGCGCCAGCAATGGGAGGGGGCGTGGAAGCCCCTCCCCCCCCCCTGTCAGGCAGAAAAGCCACAATTCATCGGGGAGAAAAATGAATTATATGTATTTTCTACATATTTGTAGACTCTAAAATCGATTAAATAAGCTTTTGACCCCTAAATTGTCAAATTTTTCGGGGGCTTCGCCTCTGGACCACCTGCAGCTCGACCACACCCGCTTTGCTCTTGTCGGGGGAATCTACGCCATCGCGGCCCCCCCCCCGCCCCCGGTCGGGGACCTAGTATCTCCCCGTCGGGCAAATCCTGGCGCCACCAATAAAAGTAACAAGTTTCACATCTATGTCTTATATTAATATATAAATAAACTGAAGATTTGATTGTTAGTTGTTAGACCTATTGTTCTTTTATTACACGTTGTGTAACTATTCTTGTTGCTAGGTCATCTACGGTGCCCCAACGATCAACTTGACTATGGGATGATGATGATGTAACTATTCTTGAATGTTTTGATTGCCCATGAAAAAAAAAAGATTTTAATGTATTTTTAACTGTTTTTATTTTAATACAATAGTATTAACGAGTTCCATGCAGTGCCTATTCGAAGACATTATACCACCATAGGGGAAAATGTACTTTAGGCCACACTGCAGACCCTATTGCTATTGTATAGGCCTACAGAGATTATGATATACATAATATGTTTTTATTATTTAATATGAATGACCCTATAGGATCTGAGATAATAATATCAATACGATCGAGCAACGAATACGAATGTACTTTTTTTTCAGTGATTAATGCTAAAGTAAATCGATTCAGTGACTGTGCATGAAAATATAGCAGTATTAATTATAATAATAGATTAATAATATAAATAAACCCGACTAAGATGTATGCACTCACCACATCCACCGGACCTTTCAGCCAGCATAAAAGCATATACACTATATATTAGCATAGTATCTACGATCACTGTAATGAAAGATAAGGTATGTTTGGATTTTCATACTTAAAAATCCTCGTCTACAAATTGATTTATATTTCGTAGGTTGGTACTTTATACAATTCTTAATCATTTGACAAGAATAATATGACGATTAGAATGCACAAGTTATGAATTATGACCGAAATTTGAGGTATAAATGATATCGAGAACATCTGAGCATCTGAGAATGTATTGATGTTGTTTGTGGAAAAGCTTTAGCATAATCTAGAAGAGCGCTTGCTTTTCATAATGAAGAAGTTCACGCGAAGCCCAGAACAGCATAGCACACTTAGGCCGACGGGAAAGTTGTCCTGTCGCAAGTGCGACACGAAATTGAAGAGAATACTTGGATAAGCTACGAGAGTGGTCGACGGTACGTTTACGTGTTTAAAAAAACGGCGCTAATGCACTTTAGTACTTCACCCTAACCCTAACCTTAACTCCAGTCTAACTGTCTTAATGTTAAGGTTAGGGTTAAGGTGGAGTACTAAAGTGCATTCATTAGCGCCCAAAAGACAAGTGAATACAGTATCACCAAAAAAAAATAAATAAATAAATAGGAGCAGCGTCATCTGTCTTCCCAAGAGCAAAAAGAGAAATTTGCTTATCGTGGTAGGCGAAACATGACTCACCGCCTGCTGGTGGGGTGTTGCGACGAAGTCAGGCGTCTCTAGTTAAATGGCGATGGTACCAACGAGACCGGTTAATGTAAAGGTGCGTCTTTAAATTACTTATTATGATTCTTGTTTGTTTGTTTTGTAGTGAAACACAGTAAGATTGAATATAAACCTAAAGTGTGTTTAAAGCAAATGAATTCAGGAAAATACTGGATGTCATTTTCTTTACAGTAGTTTTAAAAATGTGTAAGTGATTGACAGTGCAGTTATACACCTTATCGTAATTTAAAAATCAAATGAATATCCTCCACAACCGTAACTGCTTACTTATTTAGTTTTCAATTAATCAGTCAGTAGGTGGAATTTACATTCTGCCAGATATCCAGAAAAATCTGGAAATCTGCTCGGTATCACAATCTTCTACCTGCTCAGGAGGTAGACTTTTAACCCTAGCCTATTTATTAATAATTCACATTTACACACATTTATGGGACAGCATGAAATGACGGGAACGGGGGGAGGAGGAAATGTCCCTGACGAATAAAAGTGGGCGATTTCTGACGTCACTCAAAACCTCTCGAATGTGTTGCAGGGGGAGAAGCCCCTGAAAATAATGACAATTTAGGGGTTTCAAAGGCTTACTTAATCGATTTTTGAGTCTAATAATACATATACTGTGCATTTTTGTCCCCGACAAATTGTGGCTTTTCTTTCTCTCCGACGGGGGAGGGGACAACTCTCCACGACGGGACCCTAACCCAACCCACCCCCTTGCGCTGGTGGTACCCCTGTGTATGGGAATTTGGATAGGACATGGTTCTTCAAACTATTTATAATAAAAAGAATAATGTATAATTTTATTGCCTATTAACTGTTTTAACTATTTTACAGGTTTATCAAATGCAATACTGTAAAAAATACAAAAATACGTTAAAACAAGTAAAAAATTGTTGATGACTTTGATTAATATTGATAGATGGTAGTTTGATGTCTATTTATTTAATTGTTTTGTAGGTACAAGTCTACTTTAAAAAAATAGTCTTAAACTTTGCTTTGTCGATGCAGTCATGACCTCACAGTAAGAATTTTTGTACAGAAATTAATTTTGTTACAAAAAGTTAATGTGCATGGTGATTATTAAGTTTTATCAAATGTTATATTATATTTTATTTTATTCAGGTATAAAAAAATACAAAAAGTAGCCAAATGCTAAAATCGTTGCATTTACAAATATAAGTGTTAAAAATTACGAAATTGCACAACAACATTAAAATGTGTATTTACAAATTAATATTTGATATTTACAAATTACATAAAATGTTGTAAATTAATGAAATTTATTTATAAAGTTAGTTTGTAAATTTAATTAACAAAATTATTTATATTGTCTATATTATGACAGATTCTGTTTCAATTGTATCTATTTACAGCTGTTTGGAATGGTTATTCCAGCTGGGTGATCACCACTCATTTTCATTAATCAACAGAGGACATTTTCTGGTAGCCCTAAGTTAAGTGGGGATGATAATACAGCATATTCAACAAATTTTATACATTCGTTATGTACCTGTATATTACAGTACGTTAATTAGAAAAAAAAACACCATTCTGGAAATCATGGTTTTGATTCGATGTTGAGTTATAAAACTTATACTCTTGGCATCTGATGGAGAAGCAAGAACTCCTGTACACCAAGCCAGTGCCGTTTCGATATTAATCGTAAGGAAATTTACTCATGGCAATGAACAGAAAATACAATAATGCCCTTACTGTATTCTTATGCATTGACCCTTAAATTTACTGGCGATTAATATACTGTAATAAATTGTTTGTTAATTATTTTTTTTTGCTAAAGCAGTTAAATGTATCATAATATATGGTAAAACATTAGGAGATCAACAAATAAAGTTTGAAAAACGAGATAACTGTGGCTTGCATCATTTTTTTTAGTTTCGTACCATGACATTACAATGAATATTAATACAAATATTCAATGTATGAAGCAATAGTAAAAGTAAGAGGTATCCAGACAAAGATTTAATAGTACTCATACTAAATTGTTTTTTCATTACCTGCAGTGTGTAGCCTCTCTTAATTTTACGAATTAAAAATAATAATTAATTTTATTGGAAAATAAATCTGATAGAGATCAAAACAATTAAAAGGATTGAATATTTTCTCCTTTTTGTGTATTTGCTCTATTTATGACCCAATAGAATGTTAAATATTGTTTCGAAATTGTGTGTTATGTATTTTGAAACTGAGTTGCATAATTATTTCTCGAAATACTGTAATTTATAGATAAGAAAAGAAAACATTTGATACTAAGGGGAGAAATATGTTCCGTTTAATTTAAGATTCAATATAAATTTATTGCAAAACAAATGGATGTCATGAAATAAAATCAATTACTGTAGTTCTTGTTGGCACACATACTGGAATAATGTAAATATTCCTCAAAACAATAATGTATTACCTAGCTTCTCATAATGACCAGAACAATATCATGTATGTCATTAAAGTGGTGGAACCAATGGAGTCTAAGTGGCTTCAGAGCCCCCTTCTCGGTCAAGGGGATTTTCCAGGCTGGGAGAAAAAAGCTTTTTACAGGGTGTGAGACTTGTTTAAAGCCTTTCAAATTATTCATAGCTGTCGGAAGCATTTTGCAATTGGTCCGGCCATTAGAGTGAGGGATGGTGCGGGGGGGGGGGGTCCGGCCATTATAGTGAGGGGGGGGGGGGGGGGGGGGGGGGGTAGTATGGGCACATGACAAATTTGGTAGTACATGAAGAGTGGAAACCCGCTATCTCTATCCACAGCTACAGGATTTTGAAGTTAGTTGAGGTCTGAGAGCATAATTATCATACCAAATCTAGCCCCACCATGGTTGGTAAACAACTTGTTTGGCGCCTATGAATGTCCGGAAATAATATAAGTTAAGTGCTGTGTTAGCTTCTGGTAGGCCTTTAGACTTGCCACAAGTCTCTAATTATAGGTTTTCCTAGTATTAGTTAATTTTGGAGAGCGCCACCAGCGACGGTATATATCGAGAAACTTTTATGCGAAATCCAAGAAAAAGTATACTATGAAACGCCAAGCAAATAGGTA